TCAAAAAACTGTCGTATATGTAAAAATGTTTTCTGGATTTAAATAATCTTCAAGCGGTTGACAAACTTTAAAAATTCAATCAATCAATTTTCTTAGACTGATTGACAAAAAACACAACGAGATGTGACACGTTTTAAAGTGGGGACCCGAGCGCGTACACTCGGGCAAGGGAGAAAATGGGAGGGCGTTCCCCAGATTGGGCACCTGTCAGTATTATTTTTCTCAGTTGTCCCTCTGTCGTTTGACAGAAAAGCTCCTGAGCGCATTCCGACCAGAGACAGAGACGCAACTGAGAGATGCTAAGTAGACGCGTAACTACTCAAAAAGAGTAAGTTACACAGTGATCAGGGTGAAGAAATGCGCTCCTCGAGTAGAATTGGCTGGTAGGTCAATGTATGTCAATGTTCTTATATGTCTAATATTACGGTTAACGTTACTATTAGATAAATTCATATATGTTGTTCCTACATCGTGCCATGGTTCCGCTATTGCTATACCGCCATCGGAATCTATCTAGGTGCGTTTCTCTTCGCATCATAGAAGCGATTGGTCGAAATTAGATCAAACTGTACGTCCGGTATCAATATTAAAACCAGCAAAAGACTTCGGGCTAGGGAAGAAAAACTTAGTCAAGATGAATCAAACCGGAAGCTTGAGAAGAACAAGAAGCGCATGCGTACTTCCGCTTGGAAGATAGTCGAATTTTTCATTTTATATCAAAACAGATCATATCAATTCATATGGTGTGTGTATGTGTGCGTTGGCTTGACACTAGACGTACAGACATGAACGCACCGTGTTCTATAGAGAGTCTGTTGATTTTATTGAAAGGAACACGGCTCAACTGAGATGAAAGTTATCTCTAGAGCCTCAGCAAAGTCCGGACATAGATTTTTGCCAGACGTGGTATACGAATTGAGTCGGATCATTTTGAATCTGTTGCTTTCGGAGAGAAAACATCCGGACGGATTCAAACGAATTATCAACTCAAAATATAACGTAAGCAAAAAGTTTCAGATTTACCACACAGAAATGCATTGGCCTCAGATTAAGTTTATTGGGTCTGAGATGTTTTCGGATTGAACAGATTACCGTCTAAGCAAAGATTTACCAGAAGTAACTAGATTAAATTGAATTTTTAGAAAAGCATAGACCAGTCACTCGGTCAAGGTTCACAGTAAATTTGGGACCGAATGAATTGAACAACATGACAAATAGAAGAAAAAATATGAACAGCGACAAGATAAAACTCCATCAATCGAATTAAAACCAACGTCGAGAAAAATAAAATGACACTGTTATTATACCTATGTCTCAAACAGTGACGTGCACAGATTTGGTGATGTTTGTTGTTGCCCGGGGCAACCCCCTAGATTATATGACCCTACGACTCATATAGGGCCTAGTACTGAGAAATGTGAGAAAGGAAAAGATATTAAATATGCAAAAACCAATGAAACACTTTATTCAAAATTAAATATTAAGTAAATTTTGATTTCACTTTTTCATTGTTTCCCCTCTCGATATGGATGCCCGGGACCGTCGCGCCCTTTGCTACCCATCATTCTACACGCTACTGACCTGAACCAAATAAATCCTTTTTTCTTTTATGAACCGTATCCCTTCAGGATGCCGTCCTGGATATGAGGATAAACTACATTCGCATGCTGGGTAAGACGATAAATTACATCCGGCAGTAAGGCCGCTGATCAGGAGGTTTTGAGGAGCGTGGGACCACCTCTTAATCGCTGGTGTTCTAACCCGGCCAAAGACCCGGAGTGGTAGCACCCCTAACCCGAGTCCCAGCGTTGGCGATCCGATATCTAATTTTTTTCATCAAGGAATGCATTTGCATTCATCTTACTTCCTAAATATGAAAATATTTCCATGGTTACACACACACACACACACACACACACACACACATATATATATATATATATATATATATATATATGTAAATATATAAATAGCGAGAATACATCTTCACAAACAAATTTATTAAAATTACAATAACCCACGAACCTCTAGATGAATGTTGTGATCACTGTTTTTAATAAATTCAACTTATATAAGGTCTTTTTTTTTTGTTAGTACTTTCATCTGTTCATACAGACATCATCATGCATAGAAATTGATTTGTTTTTTGGAAATACATCCAGGTAATAACGGGACACGAAAGATTGGATATGAATAGAAATAGTTTTTTTTAAAATGTGTTATTGTTAACTGTAAGAAATTTTGGAGCGTGCAGTCGCAACGCTAAGGTTGAATTTTTTGAAAATTTAAAAGAGAGTGAATTTTTTTTTTTTTTTTTTTCACTGATATGGTAATTGTAGAATGCTTTTGTTGTAGTAATTTTTTTCAGTCGATGTGGCAAGAACTAAATTGTTCAATAAATAGAGTAATGTCGCAGCTATTATCCCGAAAGTTGCACGTCGGATCAGTTCTTTTTAAGACAAATATATGGTGCAGTTCAATTTAATTTTAAATTTTCAAAAAATTCAACCCTAGTGTTGGACTGCACGCTCCAAAATTTCTAAATAAATAAATTTAATAAATTTGTTTGCGAAAATGTATTCTCACCATTTATATCATTAACTTCACTAATCTGTTTTTTTGAATGAATGATTTATATAATATAAATTGAACTACACCACATATTTGATATATATATATATATATATATATATATATATATATATATATATATATATATATATATATATATATATATATAGTGAACTGTCGCCTCTAAGTGTTGTCTTCTATGTTCACTTTTATATTTACACATGCTCTATCTCTGATATTGAGCACTTTAGTTCATAAATATAGCACATCTTAAGACTATATTTCTTCATACATATATATATATATATATAGATATAGATATATTTTATATATATATATATATATATATATATATATATATATGTAATTAAGTATATTGTCAGCAATCTCTCTATTATACAAGATTCGTTAAGAAATGTGAAATATTTTTAAACGGATAAAACAGACAAACCACAAACAATCACAATTTAATTTCAAGATACCATCAAAATAATTATATCATTATTATAATTGCACCACCATTAGTAATCACTTTTACTACAATACCTTTTAAATAACAATATTATCATTACCACCAACGCACAGCACCATCACTTACACATCACACCCACTATTAACATATAAATCCACTACAATCTTTATTACTCCCCCGGCATATTTAATACCTTAAAACAATATGATCAGATATAATGTAACCATGAGAATAAACACCTATTACCAGGCAGTTTTAATATAATAATAATAATAATAATAATGTAATTAAAAATTAAAAATTATAGCAATCTTCAACTACCATAATTTTACACAGAATACCTATTATCAGGATTTATACCAAAATTAATTAATACATATAAAAAAATAAAATAAAAATAAAATAAAACACCAACAACCACTTTTTAGTTCAAGCTACCACCACTATAACTAAATTCATGGTTTTATCATTCTCCCACCACCGTTACTAATCATTTCTACCAATTTACAATTTCTACCAATTTACAATAACTTTTAGCTAATTATATTATCATTGTCTCCAATCCCTTGAAACATTACTATCACATCTTATCATAAAGACCCGTTATTAAATTGAACTACCCTCTCACCCAGCACATTGAATATTAAACATCACCATACAAATTATCCAATAAGGATTACAAATTTCTACCTGTTACATATACCACAGTCACCAAAAACAAACAAATAACCAGCTTTAAATATAACAAATAAACCCCCATATTTTTTTTTCAAAAATTTAAAAATAAATATAAATAATAATAATTTTTACCTATCATAATTTTACACAAACCCCATCACACGTATATACATACATGCGAGGAAATATTTTTCATCGGAAAAATACATATGACATGTATACATTCACGAGACATTTCCGCCACACTTCCAATGTTTAAATTTCAACATTTCAACATACAAATGCGTATGTATAGACATAAAACCACCTGTATACATACATATGTCATATCCGAAACTGCCCACATATGTTTATATATGTATGAGTCCCGAAGGACGGCCAAGTATATATATGTGTCTGCATACATCGATGTTTGCGTTAGTACGATGAATGACAAAACGACGAAGTTTCCCCCACCACTTCCACAATAACACCAATACACGCAATCTACATAAACCCCAATTTTTTATAACATTAATCAGTTTGTCTGACGATCGCTAAAGCGTGAAACCCAGGGTCACAAACTCACATCTATCCAGCCATATATATATATATATATATATATATATATATATATATATATATATATATATATATATATATTTATATGTTTGCTGTCACATATGCCCTATATATGCTGTTCAATCATTAAGCTTTATAATTCACTTACGTCTGAACTGAAATCTCAGTTTCAAGTTTTAAGTCCAATTCGTTTCATTTTAGTAAAAAAAAATTGCCGAAATCCAAGATATGTAATCCGCCATCTTTTTCATGGTATATCTATCCTATTTCGTTTTGTGTTCATGTTTGTCCTTCTCCCCCTCCTTCTTCTTCTTTTTATTATTATTATTATTATTATTATTATTATTATTATTATTATTATTATTAATATCATCACATATCTGTGTCTTTCACTGCTTGCTGGATTTTTGTTTTACTTAGTTTTACACACATTTTCAGTTTGATTCAATATCACTTTAGTTTTCAAGCTTTGTTACTTTCACTTTCACTTTCACTTTCACTTTTACTTACGTTTTCTACTTTTAATACCGATTTTGCCTTCATATCATCCACCCTGGTTAATCCCTTTTTCTGAATTTTATTCTCATCCTTCCTGATCAATCAATCAATCAATCAATCTAGAAGGAAGAAAGAAGGAACGGTCGCATCCCTCGTGATTTCTAACACATGTCCCTGCTTCTTTTCTTTTCCAGCTTCTAGCGTTCAATCTGGCTTTCCGATGTTCCTCTCTGTTTTTCTCATTGCAACGTTTGCTATCAAGCATATGACTTTAATTCTGTTATGCTATTTTATGCCCCTGTTTTATGTTTTTAGTTGATATATTTGTTTCCTTTTCTACCCTTCAATGTCTGACTTTCTTGGAGAGAAGTCTTCCAAGGGAAATTCCACAGTGGCATTGAATGAAAGTAAATTAGGTCAACGAAAGGAAGTAAAACAGTCTCGTCGCACCCGGAAAGAAACGATGAAATATCTATCTATCTATCTATCTATCTATCTATCTATCTATCTATGTCTTTTCTTTCCTCCACTTCCTTCCTTCATTCCTATCTCTCTCTCTCTCTCTCTCTCTCTCTCTATCTATCTATCTATCTATCTATGTCTTTTCTTTCCTCCACTTCCTTCCTTCATTCCTATCTATCTATCTATCTATCTATCTATCTATCTATCTATCTATCTATCTATGTCTTTTCTTTCCTCCACTTCCTTCCTTCATTTCCTATCTCTCTCTCTCTCTCTCTCTATCTATCTATCTATCTATGTCTCTTCCTTCCTCCCTTCCTTCCTTCATTCCTATCTATCTATCTATCTATCTATCTATCTATCTATCTAAGTTGTTGTCGTTCTTTCTATGTAAGTTCGTTTCTTCCTTTCTATCTATATGTCTACATTGTTTTCTTTCTTGCTATCTCTTTAAGTTGTTTTATATCTATCTATAGATTGATGTAAGTGGTTTTATAGCTATCAATCTACCTAAGTTATTATACATCAATCTATCTATGTATCAAAGTTGTTTCATATCTATCTACGTATTTAAGTGAATTTATAAGTTGTTTCATATCTATGTATCAATGTTGTTTTTTATTTATCTATTTATCTTAGCTGTTTTCTATTTATATGTCAATCTAAATTGTTTTCTAAGTGGGTTATATCTAAGTTGTTTTATTTTTGCGCTCTCTATAAGTTGTTTTCTCCTATCTATCTATCTATCTATCTATCTATCTATCTATCTATCTATCTATCTATCTATCTTGTTTTATACCTATCTATCTAACTTGTTTTCCATCTATCTATCTCATTTCCATTTCTTATTAATAATGTCCACACCGTGTTATTAATTAAGGATCCACATTCGGCGAGATTTTAATTTTCAAACATCCAGAGATGTTTATTGATTTTTATAGTACTGCTTCCGCTTTTACACACTCATATATATATATATATATATATATATATATATATATATATATATATATATATATGTGTGTGTGTGTGTGTGTGTGTGTGTGTATATATATATATATATATATATATATATATATATATACCATTGCAGAATGAACTATAAAAGAAGAAGAATTAAAAAAAGACAATAATGACTGATATCGCGGAGAATCTGTTAGCATAGGACATATTGTTACATGTAACAATTACAACTGTGAAAGGATTATGATCTCACTAATCTAATACTGTGCTTAATTTCATAAAGCATCAGTAACATATAAGAGAGTTCATAAAAATAATTACCAAAAATGTATTTATAGAAACAGACACAGGAATCTTACGTCAGGTGGGTGAGAAATTGACACAAACCGTGATTCCAGTTTATGATAATCCTTCTTTGGATTTCATCAAGAATGTCTTAATACATAGCAGAAGCGTTTGACCAGATGCGATGTAATATTCAATGCATGAACGAAATGTACCTTTTAAATATGTTAAATTCTGGTGCGAAAAATTGTCTAGCCCGATAAAGTGAACCACATTTATGAGCAGAATAACAAGCAATTAGTTCAATATAATCTTTCCAACACATGTCCAAGGAAATCGTTTGCTCTAGAAGGTGCACCGAGCCCGTCTCCTTTTAGGGTGGCATCAGATATACTGATGGACGGCTAAAACAGGCAACATTAAGGTTTTAAAATCATTCATTGTGTCAACAGTATTCGGATTTTAATATAAGTCAAGGTCAATATATCAGTTCTATTATATATTTTAATTATTGACTTTTCCAAATTATGAATACTCCAAGAAATATGGTCTAAGGTTTCGACTTTCTTAAATCATCATCAGGGTACGTAAACACGATTCCTGAGTTTCACAAACTAGTATGCGCTCTAACTTATTCAAATAGTGTTGTGAAGTAGGCGAGGCCTACGTTTGTTTGTGTGCTTGTTAGTTATTATTATTATTATTATTATTATTATTTATTTATTTATTTATGATTCAAGCTCAACTGTTGTTTGTGTACGATTCGCCTTTATTTTTATAACAACTTTTAAACTGAGCGCATTACAAACGCACACATAAAACAATATATATATATATATATATGGCAAATAAATAAAGAGAAAATATTAGCGTAAGATGAAAAGCACAAAGAAAGCCTATATATATATATATATATATATATATATATATATATATATATATATATATATATATATATATATATATATATATATACATTAAAATTGAAATAGCTAAATATTTTCTTTGCGTTGTCGTAGTTATTGCTTCGGACTTATGATGTCATTTGCGTACCACTGAAAATTAGATAACAAGCCACGTGCGGCGTTGCGTGCCGCAGGTTGCCGAGCACTGACCTAAAGTATCTTAAGTATCGATTAAATGAGAACAGTTTCGTTTTTGGAGTCAGTATAATTAATAAAATAGTTTCTTGCTTCGTTCAACGGCAGACTGTAGGTCAGTTGTGTTACCAGCTGCCGATTTGACCTTATTAAACTGATCAGATTTAGTGTTAAGACAGGAGTAAACAGTTGTGCTGTCAGCATAGATACTGTAATCTCTCCTCTCTCCTTATATATATATATATATATATATATATATATATATATATATATATATATATATATGCATACATAGTAGTTCAGATCTAGTATATTTTTTTAATGTTTTCTTTTAATTGGTTTCACCCCATGCAATGCAGAAAAAGCCACAAAGACACAAGGGTTTACTGAGTGTGAAAGACATGTGAAAGCATTTACTGAGTGTGACAGAAAATTGATGGAAGCCTAAAATATTTCTCCAACCATTAAATGAGTGCAGTTGCGTTTTGGAATCGTTATAATTAATAATATAGTTTATTGCCCCGTTTAACAAGAGATTTAGGCCAGTTTGATACTAGCTGCTCAGTTGACCTTATCGAGCTAACCAGACTTATTCTTAAGATTGTGTATAATACATACCAAGTTGAGAACGGATGCCACCAGGAAGGTCATTTATTATTATTATTATTATTATTATTAAATAAAAGAGTCCACTGCATAATTATCTCTCCTGTTGTAGGGTGATTAATAACTGGAGAACATTTTGCTTGAATTTGTTTCTCCTCAGTGGTATATTATCTTAGCCTTAAGCCAAGCTGAGTTAAATTGTGTTTAATATCGGCACAATTCTCTTCTGTGTGCGCTTGCTTTGAAACGATCCTTGGTTTCGATTTTAGACTTGTATGGTTAAGTCGTTAATGCAGTGTATACGTTGTTCTGGTTTTGTACAAGACTTGGTTACATCGGTGGCTGAGAGGTAGGTGCCGAGGTTAACAAGTAAATATTTGTCTCATTTGCATAGATAATGAGTTGAAAACATTTAGGAGTTGAACGCTTTCTTTTTACACAAATTCTGAGCTTAATTGATATTTAACGCTTACAATGTTTATATACCCTTTACATTGGTAATGCTTTCCTGATCAGAACGAGTAATTCCACACAATGCAACTCCATGGATAACTTGGATACAGGGTTTTCCAAGATCTTCTTGCTCGTAATTTTCTTTTTATCCTATCTAGAACTATCATTATTATATGTATAATAGTCGTTATAAGGTGACAATATTGTTTTTCCACTTTCACTTTCAACATCTTTTTATATAATTATTTTGCCATATTCTTTAAAAGTTCTAAGACTCGCCTAATAGGAGTTGGAGAAACAAGACGATTTTTCACTAATTTATATATATATATATATATATATATATATATATATATATATATATATATTCCCTCTTGAAATCAATACACTTGGTCCAACGATACCTAAGAATTGCAATCCTATCACAGAAATCGTCCTGGGTATGACGATAAACTACATCCGCGTCCTGGGTAAGACGATAAACTACGTCCAACAGCAAGGCATCTGATCAGGAGGTTTTGAGGAGCGTGGAACCACCTCTTAATTGCTGATTTTCTCAGGTCCTCCCTGACCCGGAGTGGTAGCACCTTTTAGGGTCTTAGCTATGGGCAAATAGTTAACACCCAAACTTGTGTAAAAAATAGGTTTTAATACCAGAAATATTTTGCAATAAAAAAATTATTACAAGCAATATTTTTTTTATTACCAGCAATAATTTTTGAAGGAAAAATTATTATCAGCAATACTTAAAAAAACAAAAAAAAACAAAAAACATACCAGCATTACAAACAGTTATACATTCTTTGAAAAAAATAAGACCAGCTATAGATTTTTTCCAAGGAAAATATTCCAAGAAATAGATTTTTGAAGAAAAACATATTACCAGCCATAAAAATTTTGTCGGCATTAAATAACCCATTGAGGTTGATATGCTGTAAATTAAACCAAACCAAACCAATATATACTGAGATAGATAGATAGATAGATAGATAGATAGATAGATAGATAGATAGATAGATAAAAATATTACCAGCAATAAAAATTTTGTCGGCATTAAATAACCCATTGAGGGTGGTATGCCGTAAAACAAAATAAACCAACCCAAACCTATCACAGAAAAGGGTGGCGGGCTGGTTCTCCAAAAAGTACTCCATGGCACATCTCGTCACTGATTCCAGAATTACGACCATTCCGTTGGGATTTGAGTTTAGGAAACAGGAATAAATCAGATGGAGCTAAGTCTGGTGATTAAGTGGGGATGCGATTTCAAAACCGTAGTTGGCTGCTTCGAATACTACAAAGCCGTGTGTATAGATGTGTTATCCTGGAGGAAGAGCACACCTAACTTACCTCTTCGTTTCGACTTGATTGCTTCCTTTAGTTGCCTTAATTCTGATGCATAATACTGTCCATTAACTTTTCTTTTCATTTTTCCAAGTTGTCTATCATGGTTACACCTTCGGAATCTCATAAAGCAACCCATCTTCCAGACACCTGGCCCATCTCCAAGATCTCAGTTTAAACAGTATTGACCGAACCAGAACTAATGTCTATGGGTCACTGGCTCGCCTGAATTCCACACCCTACGTCTTCACAGAAACATAGAAGGGGCAGTCATCAGCAAATATCTGGGCCATGTCTTCATGGATTTCTTTGATTGTCATACCTTTCTTTTGTAAATAATTTATGACTGCTCAGGACTCTGTTTTGTCTCGTTTTAGATTTGTCGCACACCCTCACCTATTTATGGATCCCACCTGCACAGAAATGAAAACAGAAATCTGAATTAAGGTTTTTTTACTCTTGTAGATTTATAAGACGTGATAGTGTGTTGCCACACCAAAAATGTTCAGCTATGGTTGTTCTTTCTGGGTGAGGCTTAGAACTTTTCAAACAACCTTAAAATTTTCATCTGACCAACATCTATATATATACCGCGTGTAACGGCAAAACTGTCTAAATCGTGTAACATCAAAATTGTCCAACAGTTAGATTAATATTTGAAGCGTTGGATAATTCCAGTAAGATATCATTAATCAATTCTATTGAAGCTTAGAATTGATTAATGATATCTTACTGGAATTATCCAAGATTTTTATAAATCTTAGGTAACATAGAAATCATGATGAAGTCGACCATAAAGGAAAATGACATGTTCATCATTACGGATCAGAAGATCATGAAGGATGGAAATAACGTTCATATATATATATATATATATATATATATATATATATATATATATATATATATATATATATATATATATATATGTGTGTGTGTGTGTGTGTGTGTGTGTGTGTGTGTGAAAAAATATATAGAAAATAGGAATATATTCCGAGATCATTTTTGAACTTATTCAAACTGATGTGACCTCTATCCTTCTAACTTTCTCTCCTCGCGTAACAATATGCCTTTCACGTACGATTTCATTTTCAAGTCTTTTGTCACTGCTCTGTTGACTGAAA